GTCCGCTGAAGTAATATGAGCAGTTCTGTTGGTTAGGGAAAGCTGCACTCCTCCTTCAAAAGTGCAGCTGAGAAGCTCTGGAGGGTTTGGGGTTTTGTGACTGTTTCTGTAGCACTCTTGAGATTTGTGCTGTAGACGATGACCTATTTCACCCCTGCCAGTCCAGGTTGTTTCCCTGAAAATCAGCATTGCTACCTTAGAGTGACATCTAGGCAACTGAAGTGAGGTGACTTCTGGTTCTGGAGAAGAGGTGCCAGGACTCAGAGGGACAGGTTGCCCGTATGTTTAATGGAAGAGGAAAGCTATTTGTAGTGCTTCCATTAAGCTCTTCCTTTTGAACGTTCTTTTTTGATAATTTCCTCTTTGTCTCTATCAGTCATAGAGGGAGTTTAGGGAGACTATCCCCCTAACTTCAGCTCTTCATCTAGGTGCTTAAGCTTTGTGGTATAAATGCTTTTGCCTGAGATCTGCCTGTCCTGGTGTCCTGAATAAACTCCATTTTAAGAATGTGCCAAAGTCCATTCAGAAACTGATATGTATATATACATGTGAAAATGCTCATCAGTGAGGGAACTGTGGAGGTATTCCTTCATCTATTCCTGCAGCGCTCCTAGGACTGACAAACTCTAAAGAAAATAACAAAACTGCTTCTTTTTATAAGAACGTTACTTTGTTTTCCAGCTTCTAGAAGGAGTTGAACAACGCAGCTATTTCATCACAGCTTACTCGACTAGCCTTCATCTGCTTCGGTGTTGCCTGCAGCTTTGACCATTGAGGCAAAGTTATGCATCAGTGACGGCTGCAACCTGTTGCAACCATAAAAAACCACACACAAGAGATTCCATCCTGGTTCTGGGATTAGGGTTGGTCAGCTTGCTTCTATACTTTCAGAAGCTGGCATGTTTTTCTTGTTGTGGGGTATAGAAGTTTTACCCAAACAAGTATACTTCATGTAGTAAAGCGTGATCTCAGTAGGAGTGACAGGCAGTATCTAAACTTACAGAGAAGAGTGATAGCATAACATTCCCTAACATCTCCTAGTAGTTCATCACAAGGCAGAATATAAAAACAAACAAAAAACCTGACGCATTACTTACAAATCATGCTAACTTCCAGTTTTTGATGTGTTGAAGTGCAAGAGAGAATATGTCTTGATTTGTAAACAGACTTAGTTGAGAGACAAACCACTTCTGTAGCATTTAAGTGCTCTGTTATATGGTATTGTATTTTTTTATTTAAAAATAATTTAATGTTTGTGGCAAAAAAATAAAATAGTGGTGTGGCTTTTAGTTTCTAAATTTAGCCATTTATGTGACTTTCATGGAAAAACTTGTTGTGCATTAGTAGTGAACCTTTTTGTAGCCATTTATCATCAAGTGGGGATACCTAATAGAAAAGCATGTATTTGCCAGAATACATGGCTTGATATTATTTAACAAGGCTGTGGTGTCCCTGTGAGAGCAGTATCTTGTGGTTGCCATGTTTCTAGAATGACTATTCTCTTCTGTTGGTCACTGAAGCAAAAGGAAAGAGATTCTTTGTATTTAGAGGTTACTGAATTACTTGCTTCAAAACGGTATAGCAAAGGGTAATAATAGCATACGTATGCATATATGCCTTGGAAGGTACATTTCATTCCCAGGTGATTGATTTACTTTATGGTGAAATGCTATAAACGAAGCTCTCCAGTTATTTATCATGTCATATCTGGCTAAGTATTACAGTGGAGTGGATATTGGTTTTGCTGATGTATACTATAAATACAGTTTTCTTGCATATAACTGTATCTTACTGTATAGGTTTCATTAGAAAACAAAGAAACAATTAAGAAACATAACAGTAACAAAAGCAAAATAGATGAATGGAAAGAATCCTTCACTTAGATCCTCAGATACTGCTTTTGCAGAGGGGCCATTTTTAATTAAATATCCTCACTAGATCATAAAATATGATGTGTTCTGGTATAAAATACATAAGGTATAAATTGTTTGAAAGTTCAGATATTTTACTGTCATGTGTGAGCACAGGTTTATTAACTGTCAACAGTTGCTTTATAGTCTTCATAACTGTGTTTGCTAAGACAATACAGATTTTTTTTTCCCCTCAGTTTGTTTGTGTGGTAGACTGTGGCATCCCAAAACAATCTGGTAAATCAGGTTTCCTTTATAACACTGACAATCACATGCTTTGGCAGCTCAGCTTGTTGAAACATCACTACTAAATTTTTGGTCAAAACTAAATAAAGTAAGGCCAGCAAAAATCAGCCTGCGGAACACTCTGAGTTACTTAAAAATTAAGATATACTCCTCTCAATTACAGATAATTCATTAGATTATAGTATTTTAAGAAAATGCTGAAGCAAAGTTATGGACAATATTACTCACCTCAATCATGTCAAAGTCAGCTTGTTGTCTAATGTATGTGAGATTCTTGAATTTTCATGTAAGCGTGTACTCTTCAGCTGGTAGCTATGTTGATGAAATTAGGGTGCCCCCATCATCGCAGTTCCAGTTTGTCTTTTTGTGACTAATTGGGCTTGATTTTCTCCCAAGTCTCTGAGGAATTAAAGATGGGTTCTAGTTTTTATCCTAGGAATGTTCCATACTTTTAAACTGACTGCAAATTATTTTGCCCAGGTGACATGATCATTATTACATAGTTAGATACATATCTGGGTGATTTCTAAAATATACAGTAATATTTCATTTCTCTTCAGACATTAACGCTTGCTTGTTCCACTCTTTATGATACCTTGCTTTATTTGTTGCTTGTTGATAATGTATGTGTAAGCAAAACCTTTTTATAACACCAGAAACACCGATGATAACCGAGAGGTGGGTGTGTGTGTGCTGGGACCTTCCTAACACCAAGTATCTTGATGACCATGAGTATGTGTGCACCTGCAGGCTTGAGTTCCTGACCTATCCTTTTTTCTTCTTCTTCTGCTATCTGGCATGCTGTGCAGTGCTCCCTCTTAATCACTATGAAGGAAAGAAACACCTACTAGATTTCAAGAAAATTGAGGGGATTAAAGTTACAAGGTAAAATCCAAAATTCAGTAATTTTACCTTTTGTAAGTCAGCGGTTTTGGTACTTATCCCATCAGAATTCTTTGTAGATCATTTCTCACTTTTTCACCCTAAAAGAAGCAGAGAGCAGGGGTAAGAGTAAGGGCTGCTGACTTTTCCTCATCTCTGCATACTTCAGTTTTGCCATCTGGGCCGATGTTTCGGGGTCTTTTGTAGAGCACTCTGGTGTTGGGAAGATGTTCTATAATTGGAAAGCCTTTGTTTGATTCCCTTTTTTTAAGATCCTGAATGTTCTAAGTGATACTGAGTGGACAATCATGAAAAAATAATAATTAATATTTAATGTGGTGTCTGTCATTAAAAAAAGTCATCACAGGATACAGCACAACGTTTTTCAGAATTTAGCAATACCAAGCACCCAGAAAGCCTCTGTCAGCAGACTGTAACTCATTACTGTGCATTGGGATAGCCTGTGGTCCAGGAGGCAAATGTGCAATGTCTAAAGGACAAAGCCTTTAGAAAGCTAAATAAACTATGCATTCATTTGAGTTTTAATTAAACATTGTATTTGTAGAGCTTCAAAAATAATTTGGAAACTTTAAATTTAATCTTCCTTTTAAATGTCAGCATTAAGCATCAGTGAAAGTCAACGTTTGAGTGTTTTTTGTTTTAATCCAAGCTGGAAAGGATTTCTGTGGTAACAGGCAGCTGGCCTGTACACAATGATCAGATCATCGTCGTCGTGCAGTAAGCTACCCTTTAGCTGCCCGTGATGCTGTTGTGCGGTATCTACTGGAAGAAATGCTAACTCCTTAGCCAGAGATTGTAGCACCTCAGTAAGCTTAAAGCTTAAGTGTATTGTGCAGTAAAAATATAATCAGAAAATTAATATTACTGGTAAAAGAAATCTAAGCAACCTCTTTTCAGATAGATTACTGAAAATAGTATCCAGTAATAATAATGATCTTATGTCAGAGTAATGATTTTGTACTTTATTTTATGTATATATATGCACGTACCTGTGATGTTAAGTATTGCCCTACCAAAGTAATATCCTTATCTCAGTTTATTTAAAGATTATCAATACTGTTATGTGTGATAAGTATTAATGATTTTCCAATAATATTAACAACAAATTTCTTTGCTCAGCCAATCAATGAAATGTTGGCTAATTTCTGTTAGACTTTACAGATGAAGCAAGTTTTGAAAGAGGAACTGGCTATAGATAGCACATGTTACCAATACAAAACATCAGGGGGATGTCTCATTTTTCCTACCCAAAATCACTTACAGGGTTTATGCCAAAAAAATTTCTGTAGACTCTTGAATGGTTTATAGATCTGTAAAGCTTGATAGAAAAGTCTATTTCAATCTATAGTTAGTCCTTCAGTTTTAGAGGCAGTATTCCTTGTGGGTTTTAACTGGGAAACCAAAGGCAGGCTTTAATAAAATGTATTCAAATTTAGCTTTAAATATTGGGTGGCTGCCACTGCTCCATTATAAATGGAATTGAAATGTTTCGTGCATGTGAAGCAAAATGATGTAATTGTTCAGCTTATATAACTTTTTAATGTACTATATGGTTTTTATAAGTTCCATTGAAATCTTACTGTTTATATAGCATGTATCTACTCTATACTTAAGATTTTATCTCAAACAGGTTATGGAAGACATTTCATTTGGAGCAGAGGGTCATTTATCTGAGGTAAGTGTTTTCTAGGCAGTATAAAGTGGTGATATTGTACAGACGTTTCTGGGTCTCAATTAGAACTAATGACACTTGTTTTTGTAGTATTACCTTTGGGTAAAAATGGCCAGAGTGTGTGAGCACTTAAGAAAAGCAACACAGGCACAACCAGAGTGGGCCCGTTTTGGTTTGGTTTTGGTTTTTTTTTCTATTGAAGATAATGGCAAAATTGCGGTGTATTTCAGGGAGTTTCTAGTTAAATCCTGTGCTAGTGCTTTTAATACATACCGACAGCAGGGTGAATGTGTTGGGGAAAAGCAGGACCGATATTATTTAGCCAGTGTCACTGTAGCACTGTAATGATGCTTAAGAATGGAACAAAATCATGATGCTTTACTTATTTCCTTCTGTACCGCTAAAAATACCTTTGAATTTACTTTTGAGGTATAAAAGCATACTGCAGCAGAATACAGGGTAATAGGAATTCTATCTGAATAAAAATACTGCATATTTGTCATTTTGTACTGTTTTCATAAATAACAAGATGTGACATCCTCGTCTATATATTTAAGAAAGTCTGGGATAATTGAGTAACATGAGATGCATTTCCTATGAGAGTAAGTGATGAGAAAAATCCACTTACATACAAAAATCTGTCTACATACAAATTAAGAGGTTAGGTAATATAAGCAGGTAATGTAAGCAGAGTTATACTGGTTCTAAGAGCTGTACTGATTCAGTCTGGTCCATTTTTATATCAGTATGCCTTGGGTTGCAACTTACTTATTAGGGAAATTTAGTATCCAAGCATTGTGTCCAGCCAGCAAATTAATTACACGGGTAGGTAACCCCCAGCTCACCTTCCATAACAACATACATGCCACCTGTCAAGTACAAGTGACAAGTGCTCAGCCAAGCAAATATTAAGTAAATAAATAAAAAATTGCAGTTTGAGATGAGTATTCAGATGAGGCATTTCTTTGGATTCCCACCAATGAATCCAAAGACTGTGGAGCAGCTGAAATGCTCCAGGGAAGATAATGTAACTGCAAGACCGAAGTCAGATTGGTGACCTTGTGTACAAGGAGACTGTGACATGAGAGCACACCTAGGATAGACTGCTTGGCTGTGTGTGAGTTCAGCATAAATAAAAACAGGAAGCCTTGAGAGTGAAGGTGAACTTTGCAGAAAATGCAAATAGCCTTTCTTATCAGTGAACTTTGCTATGAATTAAAGCAAAACTGTGCGGGTGCTTGTGTGCAAAGATGACATGAAATAGGGACGGGTAGTCCCATGGGATAAAGGTAGCAAAAAGCCCTACTGCCAGCAGGACAAAATACCGAGGGCACATCGGTCGTGATAGCTGCCAAGACAGCAGAATATTTGCTGGAAACTAAAAATTGCATGTGGTCTGGACCAAAGCAAGCGAGAATACAACAGCATGCTTGTGTCCAGCGGTGATCTGCACTGAAAGCTGTAGCACAGCCCAGCCCTTGACTGCAGTTGTTCATTTGCTTAGCAGGAGATGTGCCCAGAGCGTGTGAGTGTGATGTGTGTGCTGGGTTTAAAGATGCACCAGAGCTCAGAGGCGCAGAGGGCTGCCACTGTAGAAGCATTCACTAAGAGCTTAATATCTTAGAGTCCTCAGAAGCAGAGGAGTTTTGCCTTTTTGAAGTTTTGAGGAAACAAAGTGCATAAAGAGAATAGAGAGCAACGATACAAATAAAGGAAATGGAAATTTGCTAGAAAGGCAAGCTCTACCACACAGCCACAGCTGGATTGATGTTGACTTGTAGACAGCTCTCTAAAAGCTCTATGAAACTGTCAGCACCCTGTACCACGTCAAGGCTTTGCCTATATGTTCCTGTGATGCTCTGGTCCCCAATCGACTCTCATCAGTCTCTCTGCTGCCTGCAGGAGAGCACCCCATTAGTCATTCCAGATTGTTGCATCTTAGTGACTCGAGAGCAGAGATTGGGAGTGAACAATACTGGGAACCACCTATAAATGATACCAGCTATGCTGAATCCTAGCACAGCAGGGTGTGGACACTAGAAAACAGTTTGGTGCTGTATTGGGTCTGGCTGAGATGGAGTTAATTCTCCCCACAGCAGTCCTCATAGTGCTGTGCTGTGTATTGGTAGCTAGCAAACTGTTGATAACACACCAGTGTTTTGGCTACTACTGAGCAGTGCCAGCACACATCAAGGCTTTCCAACATTTCTTTTTCCCCAGCAGCAGGCTGGGGGTGGGCAAGATCTTGGGAGGGGACACAGCCAGGACAGCTGACCCAAACTGACCAAAGGGATATTCCATACCATATGATGTCATGCTCAGCAGTAAGAAACTGAGAATAGGGGGAGGAACAGGGCGGGGGCATTCGTTGTTTTTTTTACAATGTTTGTCTGCGGAGTAAGGGGCACACTTACTGAAGCCCTACTTCCCAGGAAGTGGCCGGACATCGCCTGCTGATGGGAAGTAGAGAATAATCTTTGCTTTTTGCTTTGCTTCCGTGCGCGGCTTTTTGCTTTAGCTACATTAAACTGCCTTTATCTCGACCCACGAGTTTGGGATTGTTTTTTCTCCATCTTCCTTTCTCCCCTCCCTGCCTTGCTGAGGAGGCGAGTGATAGAGCGGCTCTGGTGGGCACCTGGCCCCCAGCCAGGGTCAACCCACCACAGGTGCTTTTGTTTCTTTTCCAAGTCTTGGCCCATTGTGAATTTTTATTGGTAAGTCAGAAAGTAGCCTCATCCTCCCACAGCAGGAACTGGAATTGTCCCAGTGCACACTCATTTTAGGAAGTCTGTGCTCAGGGAAGATCTTCAGTCTACTAGAGATGAAAATGGGAAGACTGCTGTCACCCAGACCACAGCAGGGTGCTGGAAGGCAGTGGAAAGCTCTATTTCTGCGTAGATGCTTTTCCAAGGACACTCCTCTATAGCTGTAATGGAAGATACATGAGGGGAAGAATTGCCAACATCGGGCTGTAATTTTGATGAGTCATTTAGCACTCCCATGTGTTGTTGTAACCCTGCAGAGGAGGAAAGGGGATCAGCGCAGCAAAGGGAACGTGGGAAGAGTGTGTGATGGTGGGGAGGAGGTAGGTCACAGTTGCAAAACAGCTGTCTGGAAAGCTTTATGCCTGAATTGTTGCATATGAGAAACTGAGGAGCGTGTTGTAGTGCTGCAGTCTCCTAAATGTACATAGGCTGATGGAACAAGCTAGAAGCCTGTAAGTGGAGGGTGATAAGAGCAAAAGTAATTGGGAAACAACCTTTATCCCTCTTCTGAGAAAAGCAGATAACCACTTCCGTGAAAGAAAAACTGACCTAAACAAAGTCAGGGAAACAACAGGTGAGTTTCTGTGGGACAAAATTTGTAGGAGGAGGAATCAGCAGATGATCTTTGGTACCCTTCAGAAGACATCATGTTTATAGTACAGCACCATCTTCTTTTGGTGCAGAAAAGAGCAAACACAGTAACAGACTGCATATCTATGTCAGCAACTCTTCAGGGACCCAAAATAATTTTGAAAAGAAAGGACAAAAAAAGTTCCTAAGGATGAGCCTAAAAGGGTACTGCACGGTGTAAGAGTGAACCAGCAAGACCGCTGAACACACTAAGCTACAATAAACAAGAGACATGCGAAATGGCCAGGGAGTTCAGGGATAAGCTGTATGTAAGGGATAGGTGAAAGCAAGCATATGTGTTTTCTAGTAGGAAAGGTGAATAAGAAAATAATGACTTGAGAGCAGAGGGCAGAAATATTTTTTTCTTCCTTATTTTCTTTGCTTTAAGTCTTTCTAAAAATGATAAACTATGTCCATATATGTAGTGCTCTTAGTATTCACTGCAAGGTAGCAAGAGATGAACACAGTAAAGGATCCTAAGGCAAGTGAGATGTACTCAAGTCAGGCTAGACTGATGAAATTTCTTCTGAGTGCATAGGAGCCAAGAAAAACAATCTCCAAACCATTAACGAGCTTCTTTGAAAACTCCTAGAGGAAGCTCGAAGCCCCAGGGGATCAGTAAAAGGCAGAGTTGGTATTTGCCTTTAAAAAGGAGGTAGGCCAGGAGTTTATGTGCCAGTCAACATAATTTCAATTAGGATTAGAATTCCAAATGCTCTTGATAGATTGAAAGAATAGCCTGAAATCAATAAGATGGGATATGTTAAAAGACAGGTGCAAATTACATTTGAGGAAGAAGAAAAGTTGGATTTATGTATACAGATAGTAAATATCAGCTAAGATGACAATACTGCAGAAGCGGAATCTAGGGTTATAGTGGACTACAAATAGAGTGGGATTCATTACCTTCATCTTGTTGCAAGAAAGGGCAAATGTCATTTGCAGCCTCATTAATGGGAATGTCAGTTGTAAGACAGAAATAATTACTGTGCTTAGCTGAGAATGTCAAAGCCTCCAGAGGACTACGACACTCATCTGGGCACCTCTCACTCTCTAGAAGGACATGAACAGGCTGAAGAAAAGAAGGAAAGGAATAGAAATAAAGGGTTTAGAATTCCTGGTCTGGTTGAAAGTCAAAGTCTTCAATCACATAAAGAATGATAAAGAGGACAACTAGTAGTTACCATTGTGTGCTGTGTAAGGGTAAAATTGCATATAACCATCTTGGTTTGTAGCAAGGGAGGAAAACTTGCAAGAAGGAAACCTTGCTCGCTGTAAGGGCAGTTTAGCCCTGGAGCAGGCGCTACCCTGCTGACCAGGATTTTGTGGGTCTGGTCACTGCTAAGAGCCATGTAGACAGACACCAGCTGAGGACAGTCACAGTGGGCTTGCTTGCACTGCAAGTCACAGAACAGGCTTTTGTGGTCCCTGGTTGCTTCCTAGTCAGCCTTGCCGTGATGCTAGCATGGTGTTGGTCATGAGTATTGTTTTCAAAGTAACAGATTAGGGCTGTTCTTAGTGGCCACTTTGCCTTCATCTACAACACCTGCCCAGGATGATGCATAAAGGGCAGGAAATCTGGGATGCAGAGCAGGGACAAATGCTTCT